ACACAAACTATATCGCAGAGGATTTTCCATCTCACTCTTGAAGTGCATCGACGAATCCGCAGTCCCCAAGATATTACGGGAAATACACGAAGGTATTAACGCCCAACACATGGGCGACAAATCCCTAGCGAGGAAGGCACTACGAGCGGGGTATTACTGTCCGAAAATGCAGCAAGACACCAAAGACCACGTCAAGAGATGCGACAAATTCCAAAGACACGCCGACATGCATCTCACCCTGCCATACGAGCTGAATATATTGTCATCCCCATGGCCATTTGCCTGGTGGGGGGTGGACATCCTCGGACCATTCGTGCAAGGAACGTACCAAAACAAATTCCTCATTGTGGCGTGGATTACTTTACAAAGTAGATAGATGACGAGGCCCTTGCGAAAATCACCTCACATAACATCCTCCGCTTTTACAAGCGAAGCGTTCTCGCCCAGTTTGGAATCCCGCAGACGCTAATCACAGATAACGGTACCCAATTCACCGACCAAGGCTTTCAAAGCTTCATCGCCAAACTCGGCACCAAACAACATTTTACCACAGTCGAGCATCCCCAAACCAACGGGCAAGCCGAGGCCGGCAACAGGGTCATCCTACGAAGACTCAAGCGCAAACTAGGCAAAGCAAAAATGGGGTGGGTCGAAGAACTACACAGCGTTCTGTGGGCTTACCGCACCATGCCCCATTCGACGACATGTGAGACTCCATTCCGACTGACCTACGGCACCGAGGCGGTCATCCCAGTAGAGATCATGGAGCCATCTAGGCGAACGGAGATGCCTCTTGACGGGGAAATGAACGACGAGGCTTTGAGAGACGAGCTCGACCTGGTCGAGGAAATCCGATCAGGAACAGCCCTGCGCGAGGCCACTCTGCAACAGCGGGTAGCCCTACGCCACGACAATAAGGTCATATGACGCGAATTTCAGATCGGTAGCCTAGTCTTGCAGAGGAACCAGAAAGATTCCTGCGAAGGAAAATTGACCACAAATTAGGAGGGACCTTATCGCGTCCATGGAGCTACGGGCACCAGAGCATATTATCTCGAGCAATTAAACGGAGAATCATTACCACAACCCTGGAATGCTGCGAAGCTAAAACAATACTATAGCTAAAGCCCTCACCCGCTGGGGGACTTTTGCCGTCGAATGCTCACCTTCGGTCGACGAAGGGAAAAGCTCGACCACGTAGGCGAGTCGAGGTACGGACCCGACCTACCAACCAACGAGGGCATATTGTCGTTCACTTCGATGAACCAATCGTACATGCCCGACAGGGACACCTCGATCGAGCTCCACTGTCGAAATACCCCATATGACAGAACACCCAGCTCGCGATGGGCAGTTCACGCCACAGGTGTAGGATCCCAATCGCGGTCATACGCCTGACACGCGGATTCCACTCCGCGCTTTTGACGCATTTCAAAATGCGTCGACCGACATAGGGGTCAAACGGATATCTCCACCCGAACACAAACTTCGCCAAGAATTCGTTACCAAAAATAACAGTCGAGCATATACATCAAATATTATCAGACAAATGTAAACAAAGTACTTATCGAATAGGCAATCATAAACAAGGATCAATAATATACCGACCACAAGGGCCGGCGATATCCAAAATTACAGTTCAGACACGATGGCCAAAAAACTAAGAGAATAAAGGCGGGCACGCAGACCCCGAAAACAATAACGGGCACGCAGGCCCCAAAAACAATAACGGACGCGCGGGCCCAAACACCAACAAAAGCATCAATCAGTTCCCGGAGTGCCGACGTCGACGTCAGGAGAGTCAGGGGAAGGCACAACCCGGCCATCGACAATCTGGGACAGAACCCCAGCCTCTTCGGTATTCAAACCCAGATTTAGCACGGACAGCTGACTCACCGCAGTCTCAAAACCATCGGCCAAAGCGCCAACACAGTCTGACTCCAGGAGTTGAATGCGAGCGATAAAGTCAAAGCGCGTGCGCAAGTCAGCCATCCCTTCTGGCTCGTCCTCAACGGGCAGCATAACAGTCTTCAGGTCCTCGACCTCTCTCGACAGTCGTTGGTTGTCACTCTCCAACCGCTCCTTATCAAGCTGGAGGCAGTCTTTTTCCTCGAGAGCTCTGTCGGCCCTTTCCTTCTCCCCCGACAACATGTCAGACTGCTCACGAAACATTTCCTCAGAGCGTTCGAGGGCAGCCTTCAGTTTGCGGGACTTGGCCACAAGAGTCGCCTTCTCCGACTCCAGCTCTTTGACCCGATCCAAGGAGTCTGACCCTTCGCCCGCAAGGACAACCGCCATCTCGACCATTTTTACCACCTCGACCATGCTGGCAGCGAGGTGTTTCCTCCGACCTTCCTTGTCGAGCTGCCTGATGATGTCGACCTCATTGTCGGATACGGACAAGGGAAACCCCTCGGAGAAATCCTTTTCCACAAAACAGGGTGGCAGGCCGAAGGCCCGGGCGCCCGCCCCTCTGTCAATCACTTCGACCCCATCATCTGGTCTACTCTGTTTCTTGCTGATCAAAGCAGATTGGCGCTCAGTGTCCAGAGAACCCGAGGACCCACTAGATCCTTCCCTGCCCGAGTCAGGGGTCGGGCCCATCCGTGTGGCTTGTTGCGGCCTCATCAACCTCTTGCTGATTTTCTTGTCTTAAGTTAGCTTCAGCAACCTCTCGCGACACTCTATCATGTGACCTGCAAAGGAAGTGTACTTGGGTTAGCCACATACATTAAAGAAAACAAATAAAGAGGAATGTTAATAGAGCACAGCAAGAAACCTAAGAGGTCTACAGCTTGTCCGTAAGACTGGCACTCGACGAGCGCCTTGGTGTTGAACGGGTGCGCCTCAAACGTCGCCTCGTCATCCTCATCAAGAACATCATCCCCTTCCCTCGTAACCCACTGAGCAGGAAAGAAGCCATCGACAAACTTGTTCAGGACGCCATAAGCTTCCTCGTCCTCAGCACCCATACCTCCAACAGGAGTGTGGTAGTATCCAGGTCCATGATCGTAATGGCCCGAACACCGGTGAATGGGAAACTTGACTTTCCCAATCTCGGGATTACCCTCAGCATCCAAACACGGCTCCCCGTCCTCGTCCACCACAGCGGCTGGTTCGAACAGTGAATCTACCGCTGTCTGGGTAGACGGTTGCAAAATATACCACTTATTCTTAAAACCTCGCACAGAACCCATATACATCCTAAACAGTCTCTTCGACTGCTTAAGAGACACCCAATTGTGCTTCCCTCCTCGGGACTTCCGTTGTATATGAAAAACCCTGAAGAACAGGGGAATCGTCGCCCCAATCCTCAGGAAGCAGCAGGTGAGTTCGAATGCCCGGATAAAGGCAATCGCATTAGGATGAATTTGGGAGGGGACTAGGTTCAGGTGGTTGAACACTCCCACCTGAAAGTCATTGAAGGGCAACCGGAGCCCAATATCTTTAAATATGATCTCGTACATGGGAAAGTCGTCCTGTGTAAACTCCGAGCAGATACGGGCATCCCTCGTCGGCCTCATAATCTTAAAGTTTCTCTGAAATCCCTCCTGGCCGCCGCCATACTCGACAACAGTGTAAGCTTGTTTACCGGAATAGCTATAGATCAAAGCTATTTCCCGGGGTTCAGCACCAACCCAATCCAGAGTGGGGTCATCGACGGTGTCGACCAGATTGATGCTTTCGTCGGAAGTGCTTGTTTCCTCGACATCATTACGCCCCAAAGATTCAGGAATATCAGCCATTTACCTGCAAAGTACAGGAAACCGGTGAATTCGACAGCAAATCTATTTTTCCGCCACAAAGACGGAGAGAAGTAAGCAACACTCAGACCGAGTCAACGGACATTCGTACGAAAAACAGGGAACACGTAGACCTCGACCAAACATCGACCTTAGCGACGACACGTATCAATCATGAATGACGCGAGCATAGCATGAATATCGCGAGCAAAGGATGAATCCCGCGACCAAGTTCATAATGTTGCTAGCCAGATACAAGAATACTACAGGGAAAACTAGCTTACATACACAAAAGGATGAATCTCCCGACCAAGTTCATAAATCTACTAGCCAAACGGATGAGTATCACGGGCACGATCGTAAACTGTATGCCTAAACTTATGAATGTCGCGGGCGTAATCATGAGTCAGACGCCTAGGGTGCTTGAATTTCTCGGGCACAATCCCCAGACGTGAAATTCTACCACTAAAACGCCATCAAATCCAGTCAAGCCAGCTGTGATAGACCAACTCTGATCAAGTACGATCAATTCCAAAATTAATTCTACACCTCCAGAATTGCTTTTTTTACCTCTTGCAAAAGTTATAAACCAAACATACTCAAACTTGTCAACAATTATTAAATAACTATTCAAAATCTTCAACGGGCTTTTAAACATCTTTTATAAACTTAAATTAGCTTAAACTTATCCATGGATGTCTATAAACTTACCAAGATAAAAACGAATCTAAACTTAGAACTTGCCTTCTATGTTACAAGCATGACACATTCACATTCAATGCCGGATACTAGTGTGGCACATAACATGGTTTTTTTCCTTGCTTCAGCTTATTACGGTCAATAAAATAACTCGTCCAGGGGGACAATACGGGAACAGTGTGCACGCATTAGGCCTCCACCCAATTATGTATTAAAAAATTAAACAAAGTGTATATAATGTTCTAATTTTCTTAGTTGATAACGGTTTTGATATTTACAACTTCAGAAAATAATCCCCTAGGCCTAGTAATTTTCTTATTTTCTTTAGTTGAAACAAAGCACTGGTAATTCAAGTAATATAAGTACATCACAGATAACACCAGAGCAAAGATACAGACTCTAGACATTAACTGGTTCAAATTCCATTTGGCTTCATATAAGATAGCTGCTTGACCTTTCTATACTAGCCGTCAACTTAAACCAAACCCGCTAACACCCTTTAACGGCATTGGATAGGGAACTGAACAAGCGACCTAATGTTTTTATGTGTGAAATTACCTAAAGTCCCGAAGAAGCAGCTTGAGGGTTCCGGCCACCTCTATTAAGTGCTCTTGCAGCACGCAATTCATTATAATTCTGATCAAGAAAGTAACCGTTAGAATAAATAATGCATGAAATATCTAAGGAAATTAAACATTTATTATCAACGAAATATTTATTACCCGCTTCTCATATGAAGCTTCTCCCGAGTTCAATATTTTGTCAGCAACTCCATAGTCTATGGCATCTTGAGCTTGGAAATATCTAGTCAACTGGATGTCTTTGACAATTTCTTCCTTTGGTTTCCCTGTTCCTTTTGCCAACAGCTCAATGTAATACTCACAATTTGCATCCAGCTCTTTAGCCTGTTGTGTATATGCCGATATAATTGATAAATAGAATGTCCAAATTTGTGATAGAAACAATAAAGTAAGAGAAGACAACAAAAATGTATACAGTTCATATACCTTAATCCACATATCTGTGACAGAACCACTTGATTTGTGGATTTTTGGGAGAAATAATTTTGCTGCAATAGAAAAAAATTAGAACCCACGTTGAGAAAAAAACAATGCTTAAAATAAAACATACTTAAACTCCACTGAATCTGTAAAATAAAAAGTACAATTATTTCATCTTGCTACTATATAAAAAACCAAGACAAAAAATCCAATCACCGTGGAAGAAATATCCCTAATTCAAACTCAACACAGAAATGAACGTTTTTGTCCATTCTCCAAATACTCATGAATCATATTTATAGAACCTAGAAGGAAGCATTAGTTAGCATTTCCAAAAAGACACAACAAATAATTGTAAGCAATTGTTGTTTTAGTCTTATCTTCTCCAATGTGGTGTAGTTGGCGTTTCTGACCCTTGAACTCTAATTGGTTCCAGATCTGTTGAGATTTGCAGGTTTCAAGGTTTAATTTGATCTCCACTAGCGGTGGTTTAGAGGGTGGTTAGGCGGTGGCTGGTTCTTGGATTATGGCTCAGTTTCAGGTTCACTGCCTCCTTTGTCTTAAAATCCGATTCAGTCCTTTGTGATGATTTCGGATTGTTTGGCTAGAAATGGCTGAGTTTGCCCTGTTTTCACGATAAATTGTTGGTGAGTGGATTTGCGACCGCGTTGGGGGTCGGCTCATTTTGCTATTCCAAAGATTTGGTCTGGTTCTGTGCCCCACGTGGACTCGCTGGATTGTGCATGTGGTGTGTGTTTGATTGCTCCAGATATAGATTTGAGGTTTCTTATCCTTTTAGGATTGTTGTGTATTATCATTGTGTAATACACAGCACAAAACCACAAATCATTCATGTACAGTGTTGTCGATGGCGGATTGCGGTCCATGGCGGAGAGCCAAAATCCCGCCATACAGGCCGCTTTGCGGCACCGTTATTGTGGATTATGGCGGAAAAACCCGCAATAGCGGCCGATTTACCAATGCGGGATTATGCGGCGAGTCCAAAAACCGCCATGTATATCCGCCATAGCGGGGCAATTTGATAACACTGTTCATGTAATACATGTTCATGTAACACAGCACAAACCATAAATTATTTACTATTCAGATTCAAGATCAAGTTCATGTAATACACGGCACAAAACCACAAATTATTCACTATTCATATTCAAGTGCAATCAAACAATATTTTTCAAAAGTTTACAACAATAATTATTGTAGAAATCATTCATGTAATACAGCACAAAACCACAAACTATTCACTATTCAGATTCAAGTGCAATCAAGAAATATTTTTCAAAAGTTTGCAAAGTTAGGATTCTTACTTGATGAATGTGGCAAGACAGCACGATAACCCTTTTTTCCCAAAGACATAAGCATTGCAGCTTGGCCAAAAGCCATGGCCAAATTGACAGTATAGATATCACATTTAACAAACTGTAGGTCAAAGGGGAAGAAAAAAAATTAATAAGAGTACAAGTTACGGCAAGTTCAAAGTAAACCAAAACACAACATTGCTATGTGTGCAAAAGGGGTGTGTGGTTCATGATAACAACTCACAGAAAGCATATCAGCTATGGAATAAGCATCCGTTTCTGATCCCACAGTCTCATTATTCTCATCCTAAGCCGGAAATAAAGGAGAGAAAAACCATTTATATAAATAACCACATCATATTTTACAAGGAGAAATTTAAGAACAATGACTATTAACACTTACCTGAGTCCCAGACGAGTTAATATATAAGTGAACAGGTTTCTCTGGGTTATCATAATCCAACCACATAAGTTGAGCCAGAATAAGTTCTGTCACAGCTGGCACAATCTGTATGAATCAGGAAAAGGAATATCAAGATGACTAGTATAAAAGGTAGATAATATATTTCTACATACATAGGCAGTAAAAAAATGTAATTGTTAAGACCAATATTGAGATCAAAATACTTACCGGCATACCCAAATAACATATTCGAGCATCCAAGAGAAAAGAAGGCAAATCCGGTGGAGACCTCCTAGGTCTTCCCATTCCCCTACCACCTCCTCTATACATACTTACACTCATGCTGATCCTTGAAGAGGCATTATTGTCCATGCTAGATACACTACCCATTCCACTATGATCCAAATAACTTTTGGCAGATGAAATGCTATCCTGCCATAGTCACAAATATTAAGAGCACTTTTAACCAGTTAAACACGCTGCGATAAAACTTGGATGCTTAGCAAATCGAGTCCTCAACCAACAATTATTCTACTAAGAGAAAAAAAAAACTATAGTAAATCAGTGACTTAGATAATATCAAGAGGATATAAATGATGAGAACCTCTGTAACTCTTTGAGACATCTTGTGTGTAGGATTGTCTGCAGCCATGAACATGTTCATTTGTGAGGGAGTAAGACCATATAGAAACTGAGGAACATTCTTGTAGTTGTCCATCACTGCATATGATACATCATTGGGGTTAGGCACATTGAACTAGAAAAAGAACCCCTTTGAATATATTTATTATCATTTGGGTTAGTTAGTTGCCCTCTAAGTTCCTGAAATTCTCATCGATATTAATTGCAGTACACCAATTTGAAACTTCACATAACCAAACCCAATATTGTGTCTTCTATTGTTTACAAGCAGAATTCATTATATTTCACATAACTAACAAACTCTCCTACTAAGCGTGTGTTTGGTTCTGCAGTGAAAAAAACTGATTTTGAGCGAATTGATTCCGTAAAATTGACTCCGGCTAAAAGTGAGTGAAAGGTAAAGTGATTTATGTTTGGAAAATTAACACGGAAGATAGCATAACACCGGTTAATCAAATTTGTTGCGCAACACACATAAATAAAACCCTAAAAGAAATCAGACCCAAATAAAAAAATTGCATTTTTTTCAATTTCATCTAAGAACCCACTTCTTGAAGTGGTGGATTTTACTATAATTTCCTTTCTAACAGAGTAAATCAGCATTATGAAAAGAGAAATCGAAGAAAAAACTGACATCCATCTTTGAGATTTTCCTGTCTGAACTGCTTGGGGATGTTGTCGAGAGAGCACTTCGCGGAGAAAGGCTTGAAGCATCGGGGTTTGGGAGTGGAAGTGGCGTGAGGGAAAGGGTTGGTTCCATGGCGAAGAGTTGAAGAATGGTGGAGGAAAGGGGTGGAGAGAGAAGAGGACATCGGGACTGAGAAATGGAGTGGAAATGGTTAGGGTACGCTCCGCTCACCACGTTGATATCTATCTATTTACAAGATTAAATTAAATTTACACCCAAATGGTACTAGTTTTTAAGATAAATAAGTATATGGTTATTGTTTTCTTAGCAAAAGAAAATTCATAGCCCTACAAAAACACAAATTCAATAAATTTTTTTGATAGGGATGAGAACTTTATAAATTAATACTAGGTTACAAAAAATATATATTTTTGGTCATTTATTTTACCTTAAACAATATTATTTTATGTTAAGTTTGAATCGATGAAACATAACAGAGTAGAGCATAATGAAATATAATAGAGTAAAATAAAATATGGATATATTTTATTAAAAATATTTTTATTTCATTACATATATCTCAAATTAAATAGAACAAAAAGTGGAAAATTAGATGGAATAGGATGGAATGAATTTCATCATATTCTATTTCATTCCATCCATTATTTATAAATTCAAGTAATGAAATATCATTAGTTACCACTTCATTCCATTTCATTTCATCCCATAACACTAATCTAAATATATTCTTAATCTTTCCATTTTTTAATTAGACTTTTTTTTATCTTTTAGTCTTTGTTTGAATGGGTGGTATGGGATGAAATGAAATGATAATTAATTGAACTTTAGTGTTTGGAGTTAGAAATAATAAATGGAATTGAATGAAACATGAGAGAATTCATTTCATCTCATTTTACTTTGTCCACTATTTTTTACTTCATATAATTTTTTTAATGACATGTTATTAATAAAATACTCAAATAATATAGTGAAATTTATGATTCATTCCTTTTTGCTTCATATTGTTCAATTATGTTTTATTTTGTTTTGCTTCGTTTTGTTCCGCCAATCCAAATATGTCTTTATTCGTTCTAATTTAAATTTGTAGTGTGATGTTTGTAAGCTGAAGAGTAAAGGATGTCTGAGTGTTAGAGACCTTCGTTGGGTCAATATAGTGCTCTAAGGAAATGACATTATATATTGTTGCATGATACTAGTATTTCACTTGATATCATATTTGTGAAGTATAGGCCCTAGGTTGTTTCGGCTTTAATAGGGAGAGGGCTCGAGGTTCCAGTTTGACATCGGCTTGATGGAAAGAGATAAGCATCCTTAGAAAAATAAGGAATCTGTGAAAAAGATCTCTTATAGAATTTTGGTTAGGTTTTGATGAAGACAACAATATCACAAAAAAGAAAAAGATGAAGACGGAAAATGACCAAAAGCAAAATGGAAAGGATTATCTTAATCAAGATTAATCATCTTTTCATCTATAATATATCACCGTTCATCTTCTATATCACTTAAAAATTCCAAAAACCTCATTCAAACATTAGTTAACATGTTTTTAAACTTAAAAGATGGAAACTTTTAGCTTAGGCCTTTTAAATTTGATTTTTCAAAATAAAACAAAGTAGTAATCGATTACCATAAAGCAGTAAGCAATTATCAGTTGAAAGTTTAAATAGTTTTGAATGTAGGTGGTAATTGATTACCTCATTTGTGTAATTGATTATAGAGTGATTGTATGTTACTTTTCATGAAGTAGTGCATTATTAAAGTTGTGCAATCATTCATAATTTCATTCTAAAGTGTTGTCTTTATTCAAGAAGGTTCCTATGTGTATATAAATATTGTTTTACAATTGAAAAAGAATTACCAATTTTAAAATTCTAATTTATAAAATTCAAAACATCATTTTTAAGTGATCAACATCTTGAAACTTTGCAAACTTTCACAAACCAGAAAAAATTTATAAATAAAAAAAAAATCAACAATTAAGTGACATACATTTGAACTGTGATATTGCAAAGTAAAATCTACAATCCTAAGTTTGGATTTGACATTCACATAACCTACAACATTCTTCAATTTTTTAACAAAGATTGAGTGTTACTTGTTCATCATAGTGTAAGGTGACAAGTGTATGTAATTAGAAAGTGGTGTACTTTCTTGAGTGTGTATTGGTAGTTTGTTAGAGAGAAGTCTTAGTTTGAGGCTTATAACATAATTTTTAAATATAGTGGAAAATCTGATAAGAAAATAGATGGATTGGGCTTGCCTTCAATTCAAGAAGGTGAACCGGGATAATTCAGGTGCGTTCTTTACATTCTTCACTTTAAATTGCTACACAATATTCATTACCATTTATGAATCAGATAAATAATAATAAACTCACTTCTAAAAAAATAAGTTTTTTAGAAAATAGCGCTTAAGCTAGAAAAATCCAGCAAGTTTAATTCACCCTCCCCCCTCTTAGATTGTATCTAATATTTATAATTGGCATAAGAGCAAGAGATTGTTAAATTGTCCCTAAATATGGGATATGTGGCTTCTACTAAACTATTTTTAGGGAAAGATTACAGTATAAATAGACCACACTGCTTCACCGGTGAATATTATTATTTCTAGAAAATACAAATGCAAATGTTCATTGAGTCACATGGTGTAGAAATTTGAAATACAGTTGAAGAAGACCCTTTAGTTGTACCCTAAATTTTGCTCCTAACTTTTTTCAGTCGCACTTTCATGCCATATTTTATCATCCAGTCACAATCATTAATAAATAGCTTCATTCATCACATTTGCATCCTATTTTTAAGTTTACTCTTGTGTTGTTGACTAACTTTTAATCAAAATATAAAAAAATATTTGTCTTTGTCTTTGCATATTTGTGTTTTGTAGGTACCGAGTCGAAGCATATGGGAAATAAGGTTTTCCGGTATTATTTCCCTAAAATCTCTATTTTGCAAAGAAAAAAAAGAATTAAAAAAAATCATTTTTTTCACTGTACAATCGATTGCTCCTAGAGTGCAATCGATTGCACAAAGTGAATTTTGCGCAATTTTTGGAAAGATACACTGTGCAAATCGATTTGCACTGTAGTGCAATCGATTGCACAGCGTGAAATTTGAAAAAAAATCAGCATTTTAAAATTGTCAAATTTTGGCTCCAATTTTCCTTCACTTTTGAAAGATGTATCATTAATTCAAATTTTAGTGCCAATCTTTCATTTTTAAAAAAGAATTATCATTAATTCAAATTTTGGCTCTAATATTTGAAAGAATTATCATTAATTCAAATTTTGGCTCTAATTTTTGAAAGAGTTATCATTAATTCAAATTTTGGCTCCAAGAATAAATTACCAAATTACCACTAATTCCAATCCTAAAACTCTATAAATAGAGCTCTCATTTCATTCAAATTTCAAGCTTTTGATAGCCAAATCCACCTTGCTAAAAAATCTCTCAATTCTCTTCATCTACCAAATTCACTCAAAGCTCCATTTTCAAAAAGTTAGTAAGCTTTGCATTGAAGCTTACTAATCTTTGAGCTAAACCTTCATCCAAACACTTTTTCTCCATCAATTCTCTACATCCAAGCTTGGTCAATTGATTCTTGTGGTTGAATTGAATCAAATTCTTGAAGTTGTTTTGATAATTCTCTAGATCTACCTTTGGTAAGTTGGATAATTCATCTTTCACAATGTGATCTCTTGATGATCTTTGGGATTGATTCTTTGAGCATTATTTTGTGATTTCAATGGTGTTATTTTCTCATAATTTGATGGAATTTTCGTGCTCAAGTGGATCCATGATCATAAGGTGTTTGATGGAAAGTTTGAACAAGAAGTTGCCCTTTTAAAATGCTGTTTTTGCTACTGTAACTATGTGTAATCGATTTGCACTGTAGTGCAATCGATTGCACAGAAGCAATTTCACGCAGATTTTTGAAAATTGTACTGTGTAAATCGATTTACACAATAGTTCAATCGATTTACACAGGGATAGAATGCATTTTTTGCCTTGTTTTGGGGCAGCTTTGATCCAAAATGCTTTTTCTACTCACTCATTTTGATTGTTGGTTTGGATTGCAATTTTAAATGTCCAATTTGTCTTTAAACTCAATGGACTTTGTGATATAGATGAAGTTGGATAAATGTTAATCAATTCAAATCTACCTAAGAGTGAATTATTTAATTCATTTTTGGTGCTTTGGATTAATGATATGTTTAGTGCTTTAATCCATCTAGAGGAGTGGTTGAATTTAAAGATGAAAGAATTTTGAAATGGTGATCCAAATTAGCTTATCATTTCCTTCCCTCTTCATCTTATCCCTTTCTTTTTTTTAATTGTGCTACATGTTAAGGGATGGTGATCTCTATATCATTTATCCAAACATGAAGTACATAGATTGCTATTGACCGACCTCAAAATAGGTGTGACTTCTACATAAGTCCACTTACGATTGCTTAACATAGCGCTAAATTTTGTCTCGATTCAAATAAATGATCATTCGTGGCCCAAACTTATGATTGCAAGCCCAAGTATGTTAATTTGATCTCTTTGATCCAATAACCTTGAGATTCATTGTGTGGAGGCTTTGGTTCTACCAATCCTCTAATGGATCTACAACACCTTTGGTCAACGCGGATCACTTAAACATCGTTGATCATTACATGTTGTCTTGTGAGAATTCCAAAATGGATGATATACTTGACAAAAAGCAAATGCAACTTGTTGTGTGGAGGCTTTGGTTCTACCAATCCTCTAATGAGTTCCAAATGCAAGTTTCAAGATGGTCATCCAACTAACCACTAATTACTAACAACTAACTTTACTTTACGCTTTTATTTTCATGCTTTATGTACCATTTACTTTTAGCATTTTACATTTCATGCTATTTTCATCTTTGCTCACTTGAGCATTTACTTTTATGTCATTTTTATTTTGCTCACTTGAGCTTTTCTTTCTTTTAAAGACACCTAATAATCAACATAAACCATAAAAATAATTAATGATACTTGGACTACATGGTTACTATCCTTTCCATTATGGAGTGATGGACTTCTTGGACTTAGGATTAGAGACCTTGGCCTATCTTGGAGACTTTGTGACTTTATTTGATATTTTGTCTGAAGTTCTTGAGGTTTACCTCAAGACATTGGGTTGTTTGTTTGTTTTG